TCCCGGCCCCCCCGGTTACCAGGTATGTGTGGCCACTCTCCTGGGCAGGCCTGGGGTGAGGCGACAGGAGGCTGTGGAGGCCACAGGTGTGTGGGCGAGTGCCGTGTCCATGGGCTCCGGGCTCAGTGGCAGTGGCAGCACGCTCTCTCTGGAGGTCACAGTGGTGACCGGGCTGGTCCTGGAACCACAGAGAGCTCTCGGTGCTGGACGCCTCTCTGCCCTTGACGTCATGGCGAGGCCTGTTCTTTCCCGTCATGGCACTTCAGACTGTCTGAGTCTGGTGGGTGTGCTGCCTGCACAGCCTTGGCCCTGTGGACGGCAGGACTTGGAAGGAGCTGCTTGTCCAGTGGCCTGCGGGTGCGCTCTGCTCGCGACACCTGACCAGCTCCTCGGGGCTCAGGGGGGCAGGTGCTGCTGCAGCTTCAAAGCCGTCCCCACGGTGGCACAGCGGCTCCTCGCTGCGGGGCTGTTCCCAGGCCTGCCTGCAGTGAGCTCACGGGGAGCGGGTGCGTGCCCTGGCTCGGGGCCCTGCTGGTGAGACAGCCCTCACCTCTGGGTTTTTGCAGATGAAGAAATCGAGATGACACGAATGGCTGTCCAGTTTGAGCTGGAGGACCTGAATATGCGGCCTGACCCAGAACCGCTCCTCACCGAGATGATTCACGAAGTAAACTATGAAACTCGCCAGTGCCCCTTTCAGACCCGCGGCCCTCAGCTGGGCAGGGACGCCTGGGCAGGCCTCTCGCCTCCCCGATGACCTCGCAGGGCGTCATCTGCTCTTTGTGTGAGATTCGGCCCTCACTACCGTGTCTAGGAAGTGGCCTCTTTTTTATAACTTGCTGGGTGGCATGTGTGCTTGCTGGGTAGAGTGAGCGTCCCCTCCACGGGCGGCAGTCACACTGCAGTCTCTTCCCCGTTCTTAGGGCACAGGGCAGGTGCTTACAGCGCCTGGCGTTTTTCTAGCTGCTGGGCCCCGGTCTGAAACCCTGACATAGCTGTGTAGGATCCTTCTGCCTTGGTGCTGCCAGCTGGCCTGCCTTCTGATCTTTCGTTTCTGAGGGGTTTTTGTAAACACACACAGAGGTGCTGCTCTCCACCTGGCTTTGACAGCTGGCTCGAGTGGGATTCTTCCACAGGTGCGGTGGAGGAAGGACGTGGGCCTGGCTTTCCGGGACTCCTCACTGCCCTGTCTCCCCCCACACCCCACCCTGTCTAGGCAGCGTACAGGGGGAACACGGTTGGCCTGCGCCGCTTCTGCCCTGCAGAGAACATAGCGAGGATTGACCGTGAGCTGCTCCATTCCTACCTGAGAAACTACTACACCCCCGACCGCATGGTGCTGGCCGGCGTGGGCGTTGAGCACGAGCTTCTGGTGGCATGTGCTGAGAAGCACCTCCTGGGAGCCCGGCCAGCCTGGGGGGACGCGGTGGCTGTGGACGTCGACCAGTCGGTGGCACAGTACACTGGGGGCATCGTCAAGGTAGGGCCTGGGGTGGGGGTGGGGTACCTGACCACGAGGCTCGCTGTCGCGGCTCTCCCTAGCGGGTGTTGCGTCCCCAGAGTAGGATGTGACGGTGCTCCCTGGGCCAGGCTAGCCCTTCCCATGGCGGGACGGGGCCTGGCTGTGCTGGGCAGGCCGCCTCCACCCGTTCTCTGTCACAGCTGGAACGAGACATGGCCAACGTCAGCCTGGGCCCCACGCCGATCCCTGAGCTCACGCACATCATGGTGGCACTGGAGAGCTGTTCCTTCCTGGTGAGTCGCGGCCCAGACGGGCTGTGCCCTGCGCCCTGCGCCCCGCGCCCCGCGCCGTCCTGAGCGCCGCGCTGCCGCCCGCAGGAGGGTGACTTCATCCCGTTCGCCGTGCTGAACACGATGATGGGCGGTGGCGGCTCCTTCTCAGCTGGCGGCCCCGGCAAGGGCATGTTCTCCAGGCTCTACCTGCACGTGCTCAACAGGTGGGTCGTGGGCCGCACGTGGTCACGGCAGGGCGGCTGGCCAGCGCGCACGCGTGGGACCGTGAAGCTACCTTCCAGTCATGTGGCCGTCACCCGCACCCCACACAGGCACCACTGGATGTACAGTGCGACGTCGTACCACCACAGCTATGAGGACACGGGCCTCTTGTGTATTCACGCCAGCGCCGACCCAAGGCAGGTGCGGTCCTTGGAGTGCTGGAGCTGCCCTGGGGTCCCAGCGGCACTCGCAGACCCCGCTCATCGCCACACTCTGCTGTGTAGGTGCGAGAGATGGTGGAGGTCGTCACCAAGGAGTTCACTCTCATGGCCGGAGCCGTGGACGCGGTGAGTGGGGGCCAAACCAGGTCCAGACCTGTCGTGGCGCTCGCAGGGCCATGTGGGGTGTGGCCGTGAGTGACTGCGCTGCGCCCCCAGCCAGCTTCCTGGCGGGGAGACCGCCATGACCTCCTCGGCCGCCCCTGCCTGGCACACGGAGGCAGTGCTGTGCAGGCCAACACCCACGGCGGCCTCCCCTCGGGCTCCCTGAGCTCGCTCATCTTGGGGTAGCTCCGGTACCTCTGTTTGGAAGCTCCACGTCTTCCTGGGTGAGCTCTGGTGCAGACAGGCAGCTTTCGTGCACACAGGCATACCCTTGTGCACATGCGCGTGCGGTGCACACTTAAGTGGGCGGAGGTGTGGGAGCACAGGCTCCCCGACAGCTGGCCTGTGGCGGGCCTGCGGTTCTGTCCCGTGACGGCTGGCCTGCGCCAGACCCGCGGTTCTGTCCCGTGATGGCTGGCCCGCGGATGGGCCCCGGTTTCGCCACCGGCACG